TTTTTTTTTTTTTTTTTTCCTTTTGGCTCGGTAGGATACACTGCAGCACGAGAGCAGAGACCAGAAGCACGCTAGGCTGCCATAAATCTCTCTCTAGCTTGGCAAGCTAAGCTTCACCAAGAGGCGCTAGGTTGAAGTTAAAAGTTTGCCTTCCCTTGCAATTAACAGGGTCAACGAAAAGTAAGCCCCTTTACTGGGTGGCGCAGCATCAGGAAAGGCATGAGATCGGCAAGCCCATCTTAGAGTTCACGGGGGTTAAAAATAGCCGAAAGAAATTCCCACACCCCATCCTAGATTTCCTTAATACCCTGGCTGAAGGCATGATTCGTCGGCACACGTTTTGGTCTATCCATGCGGCTAATGTATCATTTTTACCAGCCTATTTCTGGAGAAATGTCATTAAACTGGACCCTGCAGTTTCGTTGCTGCCTGGTGTGAAACAAAATTAGTGGAATGGGTCAAGGTACCGGCCATGGATCGCTCTTATAGTAGCTGGCCAGACGTTTCCATCTACATCTTGCTCTGTATTCTGTGTGATTCCTGAAAAACTTGCGGTTGTCACATCACCATGTCTTTCACTGCAGATAATCAACCTAGCAGTGTCCTGGGTACAAACCGCATCTCGAAGCTTACGATATCTTCTTACATTCTGGATTGGATAGTTGTTATGTTTGTTTCTCCCTAGCAGAGTTCTATGTGTTCCACTAATACTAATATCGTTCTTTTTCAGCGCACTAGCAGCAGTAGGAGGAGTCTTGTACAAGATAACTGGGAATCAACATGCCTTCTCCCTGGACGATCCCAACATATCGTATCCTTTATATTCGGATACATTCTCCATCACCGTGGTCGGAATCATTGCATTCGCCGTCCCAGCCGTCATAATCATGGTTCTCAGCCTACTTATTCCGACCTCGACAATCACAGCGTCAGGGTATGGGACGCGTGGGTTAAGCCCCTGGAAACGCCGCCTTTGGGAATGGCATACAGGCTGGCTCGGTCTGGGCCTCAGTCTTGCTGGTGCCTTTTTCGTCGTCTCAGGATTGAAAGACATCGTCGGAAAGCCTCGACCTGATTTCCTTGCCCGATGCAACCCCGACCTTTCCAACATCTCCGCCCATCTGACCGGCGGTCTAGGTCTAAGACGCGAGGGAGCCCCTGTTCTTGTCCACGCCAGTATCTGCCAGAACACAGACGCTGCTGTTATAAAAGATGGATTTGCAGCTTTCCCATCGGGACACTCCTCCTTTGCCTGGGCAGGCCTCCTCTACCTCTCGCTCTGGCTCTGCGCTAAATTCGCGATTATCCCTCCCGCTCATTCTACCGCACCCTCCGCACTTAGAAGAAACGGACAATCCACATACTCACCTTCTTCACGGCCAGCCGCGCCGCCTCTATACCTCCTTTTGATTGCCGCCAGCCACGTTGGCCTTGCGCTCTGTATCTGTGCCACCCGGTACTCAGACTATATGCATGCCGGGTGGGACATCATGAGCGCCACTATAATCGGAGCCTTCTTCGCTTGTCTCGGCTTCCGGTGGTACCATACCTTCCCACCTACGACGCTTCTAGGTCCTACTGAGGAAGGTGGAGGATGGGCATTCCCACCACGGTCCAAATCGCACGCCCTTTGGGTGGCGTATGGCAGCCGGGGATATCCTGAGAACGGGATTATTAATGAATACGAGGATTTAGAAATGGGGCCTGTGGGACGGTGAAGGCTTTGTTTGGGATGTTCTATAATTGTTCATGTACTGTATTTTGCGTTTGTGTTGGGTAGATTCGGCTTTTACTTCGGTAAATATTACCATACTGGTATTTTTGCCGGCGTATAAATTTACTCGATTAAGTATAACTTTGCAGATACTAAGGTCAGGATTTACGCATTTGTGGGACGTTTTCTGCGAGAAGCAGACATCAAGACTCAACTAAGAAGGGGAGCCAAGGCAACGTGCGCCAGTGAAGAGAAGTGGTTGGCTCGGGATTATTGCATGGCGTCTCCATAAAAGCGGGCTCCAGCGAGTTGTTCTGGAATCTTGATCTTTTAAGACCCACATTAATATAGCAGGAACCCTTAAGCAATTAAATTTGCTAGGGCCCTGAATCACTTATGGTGAAAGTTTTACATGGACTAGTAGTTATAACCTCAATTTCAATGATTTAATATACTTTAAATGACATATTGGTTAATTTGTTTCAGTTAGTGGGGCCTTCAAATGGAAAATTATGATTTACTAAAGAAATATATATTTTGCTTGTTGATGCGTACTACAAGGACGGTCTTTAAGCCACATTATTGAGTAGTAGGGTGGCACCTGCTAATATATATTTTGAAAAGGTATGTTATTAGCTTGCACCATTGTTTCTACGAAGTGAGCCTCAGTCAGGACCGAAGTATGCTCGAGTAGTGGGTATTTTGCTAAGCAACGAGGAAGCACGTTTACGTAAGAGGGGCAAATGAGCCCACCACGTGCTCTCGATATCCATACTACGAGGAGGTCCAGGTCTTTCTTTCCAGCTCATACCTCCTCTTGGTACATGGAATAGGCCCCGTCATGAAGAAGGAAGCCGATAACCGTGGTCCGTGGAAAAGTGCTTTGACGAGTCCTCAGGATCCAGGCTACCCCAAAACGGCTACAGTCAACAATTGGGATCCCTTAACATATCTCTGAAACCGACCTTACGATTAGTAAGGTATGTCTAGCTCAATGAGTCAGGGTTCATGCTCCACTCGAGGTATTAATATTGGGGTGCTGACTCGGCAAAACGCTTGGGCCTCGGTCTACTCTTGGAAGTCCACATTACGGTATATGTGCGTCTCCTACTAGAGAGGTCAACTTCGATGGCCTATCTGAAAGCTTGACTTCACAAAAGCCTATCCCCTAAAATGTATGAAACTCAAAGCAGGGTACTCCAGTCTCGGCTTTATATCTCTTACAAAGTAAACTCCATATTAGACATTGTAGTTACCAGCCAAATCAGATCAAATTGACGTGCGTTAATCACACTGGCACGTATTTCACGGGTATGTATAAACTCTCTTGCCCTGTTGATCGAGTGATAAGATCAGCAAAACATGACTGTGAACTTGGAAACCAACCATGCACCGCTTTAATCTTGTAGAAAAAGTCCCCTGGTCACATTCCGCGGGACAGCTGCTGTGTATTATCGCATGAGATCCTCGGCCCGAACATCGCCCCAACCATGGCACGGGAAAAAAAGGAAGAAAAAAAGAAAAAAAAAGGATCAAATAAAAGGACAAACAGGAAACGAAAGAGTTATAATAGCACCTTACATCACTCGTCCAGATCCTAGGTCTATATCTCCTATCCATGTGGGCGATACGCTTGGACTTAACGACGGAGTTAAGAGGACGGCTAACATCAGTGGAGCATGGACAAGATTGGCTATTGGGGAAGCCGAAGCAACAGCCAAGTCGTTAGTCTGCCTACGCATTCGCGTACCCACTGTATGCAGCCAGTCCTCCTCGTCAGATCGGGAAAATGCTAGCCCGTTCCACGGGTCCAAGCACAGCCTCCGACAGGGTGATTAGAGCAGGACTAGCGTAGACGCATGAGAACCAGAAAGGGGTTGACGGAGAGAATCAAAATGAGGCGTAATTTATTACCTTAAGAGGACAGAGTACTGACTATTTGTATCGAGATCATGAGTCTCTCTCTCGGAGAAATTGAGAGAATTTCTTCAAGATGCGCCCGAGAAACAGGAACGTGATCCATTTCCCTCTAATAAACGGACCATCTGGCCAAGAATTTTGCATTACGGCCTTGATGTCCCCAAGTATGCCTCGCTTGAGTGTTCACACATGCCTCACCTGTTCCAGGGTGAGTATATGAGCAGTTCACGTATTAGTCTAGGAATTCTGTAAAGGAATCAGAGCACTAGCTCTTTACATCTTGTCGAAGATAACGAAAGGAGTACGAAACGTATCATGATAAATAAGTAGCTTCGCTCCACTTTAGTAGCCTTAATGCGATTTGTGTCCGGTTTCGCAAATTTCTGCTGACCATGCAACCCACGTCACCGAATATGTACAGCAATCTTGGATAGATAGTTTCAACAACCTGTTTCCTGTCAGTAGGCTTCTCGTCAAGTCGGTCACATATGTGTTGACGATCTTTTGTACAACTTCGACAGGTAAGCGGAGGACAATGGGTTGTTACTGTTCATTCCCTCGCAGTCAACATGGAACTGTGGCACTGCTGTTCCAAATGTGACGGGGTCAGGGTAAAGGTTGACTTCCCCTGTCGTGGAGTCCCGGTATGCTTTTCCAGACATGGTGATTCCCTGAATAGGGCCATTGCATTTGCTGGGGTTCAAAGTTTAATCCTCATCAATTCTATCGCGCAGGCTCCGAAGGTCGTCCACCCCAGCAGTGATGTCATTAATCCACGCACGTATATGCCGGGCAACAAACTCATTATCGCAATTTTACACTGCCAGGTCGAAATCCCTTTGACCTTGGCTTTTGTGGAAAACATCCACCCATCTCGGTTCTAGGCTTTTTATTCTGTCAATAAACACATCACGAAGGAGGGTGACCTCGTATTGCCATAGGTGTTCCCAGTAGAGATCTGAGGCCTCTCCGTTCGCCTCGAATTTATATCGTCCCAGACTAGGCTCAAGACGTCGCGGCGGCCCTTTCAAGAATGCAGGGTAATAGCAGGCCTTCCATAAAGGGAGTGCTGGAACACATTCCCAATCTAAAATAGCTGCTAGTTCTCCATTATCATGGACGAGAATATTTCGGCTAGAGAGGTCGTCATGAACCAGGACTGAGGGCTCCGGATTGTCTCCATTTGGTGAAAAGATAGATGGAAGCAGGGTCTTCAGTTTCCCAATAATTTCTGATGTTCTTATTGCATCATCTGCATCATCTTCATCATCTTCATCATCGCTCTCAAGATCGCTAGATGGTAAATTGTCTAGTGTCGACTCACAGTCTTTCTCTTACAGAGAAAGACGTGATGTAATCCAGTCGCTACTAGACGTAAATTGCCCTCGATGAACATCCTGAAGGATATGCGACCCCCAGAAAAAGTGCATAGAAACAATTCTGTCCACATCTGGTAACCTTGCAGGCATATGTTCCTTCTCAGATAGAGGTAATATATTAGATTATGTTGGGTTTCTAGCAGGCCAGGTCGCGTCGGACACTCCGGAATCATGGAGAATCGATGCTTTCTCATAGAGATTTCTAATTCCCTGAAATTGTTTCCCAAAAAGGCAACTAGAGTAGGCCGCAAACTCTCCAACCAAACTTGCTTTTGCAGAAAATGATAAAGAGCGCCACAGCTCCTTCAAGGGTCTTCCTGGCATTTTGGTCATAGTGATCCATTCAAATCCGATAGGATTGTCTCGGGAAGATTGATAAGTGATGACTCGAGGAACAGGGATTTTTGTGGTATGGTATATCCAGTCCACTGTCGACACTTCACTCATAGTTTTATAGTACGGGCCAACAGGCAACGAGACTCGCATAACAAAGACCTCATTATCTATTTTAACGTCATAAATTTTGTTCAAGGCGCTTTCGGCGAGGAAGGTCACCTGGATCGTGCTTGATGGTACTAGACATTGTATTGTATGCTCGATGACCTGAGAATCGGGCTCCACCGTCCACTGGGGTTCAAGATTGTAAGGTTCTTTGAACCCAGGCAAGGCCCGGGGGTTGTAGCTCCAGCGATTTCATTTCTGTCCTGATGAGACGCAGTTTTCCACCGTGGCTTTTGGTGTTAAGATTCCGTGGTTTGAGCTTCAAGTTGAGTGGGAAAACAGAATATCCGTAAAGGTCGAGAGAAACGTGCTAAGAGAACTACATCGGGTCGGAATAATTGTGATCCAGCAGAGACGAGAAACACCGAACAGACTTTACCAAAGCATTGAGAAACAAAAGGAGAAGAGGGTCCCTTCAGGGAGGAATACGGTGGGGAAGTCTGGTATTTGGAAGTGTTGCTACCACTTAGTAGCGCAGATCACGCAGGTGTTAACGGTTCACGTGGCCCGCAGTGCCCTAAGTTGGGAAAACAATGCCGGGCCCGGACAAATCCGAAGCTATCAAGACTCGAATGAGGTAGCCCGACAGAAATGGTATCTCCCGAGCCTGAAGGCGGCTATATGGCAGAAGTCTAATCTTATCCAACACAAACACTCGTACTTTCGGTCTATAGCCCCCACGCCGTGAACGCGCCAAGACCCGCAAGCCAACGAAGGATGCATACAGGTTAGTGAAATCAAAAACTGACACGAATCAGAGCAGCTTAACTAGGACTAAAACCGACTAATCGGCCCCAGCCCCTCTTTCAGTGCTGACAAGGAAAAAGCAAATAGTCTAATCCCGGGTGAAGAATTGACGCGTTCTCACTTCACTCTTCCATTTTGGTTGTATTTATTGTGTGCTTCGCACGTAATCACATGGGTGTTAGCTTTTGCCTATATAATATCGTCCGTTCGTTAGATCTATGAACTGTACTACTTGTTGTATCCTGCCAGTTGAATTGTCTACGACAAGATGGGAATTCGAGGCAGCCTCTCGAGTATGGTCCTCCCATGTTAACCTGTGCGGGGCTCAGCTGACAATTCGTGTTTATAGGACTTATTCCATTCATCGCATACCACCATGTCCTGATGGGTGTCTGTACAGTTGCGATTATCCTCTTATGTATGATATTTTAGACTTTATATTGTCTCTTTCCCCTTATCGTACCATACATTTCCTCATATTTGTTGCACGCAATGGGCTAATGAATCTACCAGCTGTTCTCCTCGCTGGATGCACATCCTCCAATGGCATGAACAACATCTATCTTGTCTCTCTCAAGTACAGGAATGCCGGTACTTCAGCCCCTAGTGACCCCTCATTCATAAACCCCAGCATTGCACAAAATGTCTACAACATATCGCAGCCCCGCAATTCTACGATTCAAGAAGTGCGGGCGGGGTATATGGGTCTCTGCTTGACTCGGAGTGACGGTGCGCAACTCTGTTCCAGCAGTGCTGCAGCATTAGCCAGCATGGTCAAGGATCAAGCAATGCAAGGTAGTAATGACACTGCGGATCCGCTGAACCTGATTTGGATCGCGAACAAATTTAAAGAAACAATTGTTTTTGATGGCTTGATGTAAGTTATTTCCCGATCCCATTTTCTTTCTTCTTTGGTATTATTATGTCACCCTCGCCGTAGAGATACGTAGGGGTGCTTTATAATCCATAGTCGTATATTATGAAGCGACTGGATAGTACTAACATATAAAGCTAGATTCATTGCTGTCGCCGTGACCTTTATTTGTTTCCTCGCATTAGCAACATTCCCTGGATGGCATGAGGAGGTTGACGAGGACGGCTCAGAGCGCGAAGTGAAGCCCTTCCCCTCACGGCCGGTGTCGCAGGTAGCACTAGGCTTGAGTTCATTAGGGTTCATATTTGCCTTAATCTCAATCCTCTGGCAGCACATCAATAGCAGTGCTGCGGGAACCATGTCGGAGAGTCTTACGTATGGAGCCATCGAGAGCCATGTTGGGACTGCCGCGATGATTCTCGGGTGGGCTGCAGTGGTCTGCCTCGGCGTTGTCGCTCTCGCTTTGCTGGTTATGATTATGAGTATTAGTCTTCTCCGTAAATTGACGGAAGAGGACTAGTTATGTTTATGTTCCAACTTTGCTTTTGGTAGTAGAGGCTCTGTTGTTTCGTTTGAAAAGACTTAAGTCAAGATGACAATTATACTATGCGATATATACTGGTTGTCGATGGATCGTAGGTGCTAAATCACAAAGACTGGGCAACCGGCTCTGTAGAGGTAGATTCCCCATACGAGGAGGCATACGAGGCATACGAGGCATACGAGGAGCTAAGCCTACTCCCGCGCGATATGTTCAAAACCCTAGAATACAAAAGCTGCACCACAAGGAATCCGACCCCAGTGACTAAAATCACCAGAATGGCCGCAGCCAAGCCGGCTTTAATACCTGACGCCAATGGACGCGTCCATATCAATGCGAGAGGGATTGCAACGAAGCCCATGATCCCAAGCGCCCAGACAAGTAACAAGCGGGTCGTTGGCGGAATCCTGTCGAGCAGGCGCATGACGATTCTGGGCAATGCATAGCGAAAGTCTGGGTCGGATTTGCGCCAATACGGTACGCCAACCAGGCCCAAGATGGCAAGCATGATTGCAGCGGTAACTGTGCCCTGTACGCCCTGGTCCATATTTCGAGTCCAGAGTACAGCTATGGGTGCAGCAGCAACAAGACCGGTCATCAGAATGAGGCCGACTGGGAATCCGACCACCTGCCATAACTCGGTCCCAGCCTTGCGACTATTCCTGTCTATCCATGCCCACGTTGCCTTGCCGCTCCGGTTGAGTACACTTCCGAACCATCGTAAGAGTAGCAACATTGAGAGAGACCTGACCTGCACGGGAAGGCTGTGTTGTTCTGCGTAGCGTCTAACATCTTGCTTCACATTCTGCTTCAGACTCGCTAGCCATTGGCTGCGCATTGTCAGCCGCATCAGGTACGCAAAGGTCGTTACGGTACTTGCGACAACGAAAAACTTCCACACTGGCGCTGAGTCTTTGAAGGGCTCGATTTGCATACCAAAAACGGATGTTGAAAACGAGAGTGGAATGAAGATGAACGCCAGCTCAGTGAGTCGCGTTACGGCGTGTGCCTCGTCGATGGAACGTCGGCTGTCCAGGAGGCCCATGTTGGACGTCAAGGACGAAGATGCGCGTCGGAGCCGGGCAAGCATCTGGTTGATTTGGTCGAAGAGATCTGATACGCTTTGTATGATGTCTGAGCTGTCGCCGGCTGTTGCTAGAGACGCATTGGCTGGCTGTTTGATACCAAAGAACGCCAGAAAGCCTCTAATAGAGGCAATGAGATCCAATAGCTCTCGCTCGGCTTTACTTATGAGTTGACGCCACAAGGCCAATCGATCCTCCATCTTCGTGTCATCCAGGATATCGACTTCCATGTCGCTCAAGATCTCGTTGAGCGCCCGAAGCAAGATCACAGTGTCTTGGCGGATGATCTCGAACAATGCATCGAGCAGACTGACTGGCGTGGTCTTTTTGTCTACCATATGATGAATATCCTGTCGGGTAGACCTAGTCTCATTGAGCTCATCCTGGAGAGTCGCCAAGAGCTTGCCTGTCAAAATAGCCTCCTCTAGATCGATAGTAACGGGCTTTCGTGAAGCCATCTGCTTGACCAAAACCTGGGTGGTCCTCTCGAGATTAACCTTTGTTCTATGGACTTCTTGCCTCGGTCGCCTGAGCAGCCAGTCCAATACCCGACGTCTGGTTGTCTCCCGCCGTGGGTTCTCAATTGGGATCGTCAGCGCCTGGACGCCATCATCGCCCTCGATTATTAAAATCGGTCGAGTTCCTGCTTCGTCACCATCACCAGCATCATACTCATCGTAATCACCATCAGAGTTACCATCGATCTTCGGAATTTCTTGCGTCTGATCATGGCTATAACTAATGGTCGGCAGAGGATCAAGCAACACGATAACTGAACTTTCGCTTAGCCTTTCATGTTCAGCACCGACAAGAAAGCCAATTACCCACCGATCTCATAGTCTTTATCCTCAGCCTCCTTCTTCCAGATTGATGCCCGTTCGACCAAGCCAAACTCCCTTGTCTCCTTTGCCGTCCGGCGTGGATCAACCCGTAGGTCCCATTCGGGACGAAAGATATTTGTCTCGGCTTTGAGACTAAAGATTGAGTTTCCAGATATATAATCCAGCCCATCACGATCCAAATCAAGTAGATCTTCCCGGTCGCGGTTCGAGAATAACGGTTGGCGACGATACATGGGCCGAACCCACTGTATCGACACGTATGACTTGTTCAACCCGGCTGTCTTCCATGATCGCACTGGCGGGTCATCATACTGCGCACCACCGTACCCAGAGTTCAACAGATGTTCTTCAAAGAATTCTGGCGTGACTCCGAATGTCTCCCCTAAGGCGTGGATAGTACGTTTTGATAGGTCTTCAACTATGAACACGCGCCCGCTCAACCCCTCAGGCGCGTCGCGATAGTAGGAAATGGACTCGGGGTCATCAATTTCCACACTTGCGGCCGTGTTATCGCTGTAGTATTCATAGAGCGTGATGGAGGTTTTCTCCACTCGTGGAGCCTTGCGGATATTGCCATTTTTGATGTGGTCGAATACACCCGCTGCGCGGTCCAGAATTTGAGCATAGGTTTGGCGCTTCGGCGGCTTATCTGTCGCCTGTAGTACTAGTGGAGGTAGTTTCGGTGACGGCGGCAGTGATGGTGGCAATGGAATAGACGAAGGCAGTATGAATGCGTCGTCACGATCAATCAACTCCTCCAGAGAGGATCTCGCTGCATCTCGACCTCGTTCTCCAGGGTCACTGGTCGTCGCCGACCCTTCGCGAGAACTGGGCAGTGGAATCTGCTGGGGGGTTTGGCCAGATGTGGCTGGATCATTTTGCAGGGCGTCTTCTAGCGAGTTTCGAGGTCTTCCCTTTATCTTACGCGTCCTACGTGAAGTGTCCCCCGCTTCGGCATGTTGTTGCTTGATCCATTCCAGGACGCGCCGGGATGGTTGCTGCTGTGCCATTGGGTTTGATGGGATGATTCAGTGCTGATTATTCCCTCTCTCCCAATTTGAATCTTCGGTATGTACATTAGCCCTGCCTTGCAACTACTGTTTCGCAAATAAAATGACTCGGTAAGCGGTGACAATTCGCGTGCCAAGTGGAGGGACACGACTAGTGTGAAAGGCGAGGCTTAGTTGCAGACTTGAAGTGTTGGATAATGGCCTAGACCCGCTAAATACGGAAAGAAAACTGTCGATCTCCACTAGGACGTCTTTTTCTTCTTTTCTTTTCCCATCTTTCATTAGTTAGGTTCTTTTTTGCATTTTCCTTGTTTTCCTTTCTTTGCTTCCTTCGGAACTTTTGCTTGAAGCTCTGTGTGCGGGTGCAGAACTAGCCTGACCTTACCATCGTCTTGAATCTAATCAGTCCTTCTTCCTCTGTAACCAATATCTTGAGATCTTGAGATCCTTGCTGACTCTAAAATCACCTCTTATGTCTCTACAACTTATGACCCGCTGTCATCCCTCCGACAGGTTTCCCGCATTTTCAACTGCATTCTGAGCATTTGCTACTTTCGAGACCAATAACAACGCCTTGAAAACCTCCATCTGGCTAGCTCCATTGTTCACGAAGATGGTTCTATATTCGGTCTAGCATCCATGCCTCTAGTCCCTAGCATACCAGTAAAATTCCCCTGTTCTGTTTCCACAACTCCGACCACTTGAAATCCGAATTTATAGTATAACCCAATCCCATCAGGCCAGGACATAAGGGGATATCAAGTTCATCCTCGTCCACATAATCACGGAGTATCTTCTAGAGCGTAAAAACGACACCCTGTTGTTGGTGATCTGGAGCCACAGCCATGAACATGATGCCTAAGGAATATAGGCCAACAAAGTCTGAGGAAATCTCCCTTCGTTTATGGCTTACTGCATATCCCATTTCCTTGCCATCTTTGCAAAACTATTTTCCTCTTTTTTCTGAGCAATTCCAACATACTATGATATTGTATTATTGATTAATTGAATGGATTGAGTCATGAAGCGGTATAATTCTGAACCAACTCCTGCCCTTATTTTATCTTCCCTGGTTCAAGTCCCTTTCCCTGAGTGGGGGTAGACAGACCCCTAGTTATTATTATAAGTGGACCGATATACGTGTCAAGAATCAATCGCACCTTTTACACCAGGTCTAGGCCCCTAAGAGTGCCGTTAAGTGCCAGATTCTTCACTAATTATATGTTAACAAGTGCAGAGCTACACCGGTCCCCAATGGTATCCCCTCAGCTCGTTAATATTAAACTTCTGAGCTATCCGTCTAAAGCAAGAAGAATTCCATGTGGATCATCACGTCCCAACAGCTTTTCCAATTCCCATACTATGCAACTATTCAGTTGTTCCAAGGACACTGCAATCAATTGGCTTATGCAATGCGCGCAGAGTCAAACCAACCTCTCGACACGTATTGAATAATGTTCAGGCTATGAATGAGCTACAGTAGAAGCTTGGATGACAGGCCAGAATGACCTGCAGCGAGAACAAAAGTCTAGCCATACAAATTAGTTGGTGATGGCTTCGTGGAGTCGCTTGAGGGTATAGTGTAGAGCCTATGGCCAGCACAGAGGTGACAGATGGCCGGGCCTAATACGAAGTCACACCACTCACACGGAATCCAAAAAATATGCTTACGTCACGACGATATTATATGCGGCTGGCATACGCTATCTGATTGATACTGGGACTTAATCGACGTATCCAGAACAAGCAGAACCAAGGTTCGGGGTATGCCTTAATTTTCTAGTGGACAAAACTGGGAAGAAGTGGGGTGGTATATAGAGACGTACCATTGCAAAACCTCTAACTCATAGGTATCAGCTTATTAACTCCGCGGAAGAAGAACGCCATACAATTACTGCCCTCCAAAGCCCCTACCTCCATTCTCTCTCCTCTTAGCTGCGAATTTGACTCGATATTCAAGAGTTTTTTTCTCAATCGGCTGCACTGGATTCACAGCCTCCTTCACGTTGGTGGAAGCGTTGGCAAGTTTGGGTTAAGTGAATCGAGATTCTTCATCTCTTAATGTAGCCAGAGACAGAAAGTTCTAAATTGACAGATAGCTTTCTATTTCTATTCCTATTGTATGTATTTTCGGTGCCATTCTTGTGCTGTCATACCTCCCCACTCGACATCAAAATGGACTTCCGATCCGTCACTTTCTGGCGTTTTCTTTGGGCAGTTCTTTCCGTGGCACTCGTCTCCTTTGTCGGAGCAATCAACGAGCAGGACTTTGCACCTGATGATATCATCATCCGAGATGTCTGTATCCTTGGCGGCGGGTCCACAGGCACATACGCAGCCATCAGTTTGAAGGACAGAGCGAAGAGCGTGGTAGTTGTCGAGCGAAATAAGGTTCTAGGCGGTCACACTGAGACGCTCTACCTACACAACAATCAGTACATTGACTACGGGGTGGTGGGGGTGTTCAACGACGAGCTAAGTCGAAATTATCTGAAGCGTTTGGGAGTAGACCACAAACCACTTCTGCCAAGCACTCAGACCACCAAGTATATCGACTTCAGGACCGGGAAGAAAGTACCCCCACCGCCTGGGACTTTATCCATCCTTCAGGCTGCAGAAACGTACCGTGGAGCTATCGAAAAGTTTAGCTATTTAAAGGATGGACTGTACAGCCTGCCGGACCCCGTTCCCGAGGAGCTTCTGCAGCCTTTTGGTAATTTTGTGGAGAAGACAGGTATTGAGGGTGTGCTCCAATTCGTTATGACATTCGCCCATGGTGCCGGAGACCTCCTCCAAACCCCACTCCTTCTTGTCCTCCAGCTCTGTGGTATTCCACAGATTGACTCGCTCTTTCATGGCGGTTACATGACGCCCAAGGATGGCATGTATGAGGTATACAAGAGGGCCTCGAAAATCCTCGGGTCCGATGTCCTCTACAAGTCTAGTGTGATCGAAACTGAACGATCAGGCTCTGGTATCAAGGTCGTGGTCCGAGATGCAAACGGCGCCCGGAAGCTTATAAAAGCCAAACAGCTTCTCATCACGTTCGTCCCCACCCTAAAATCTCTAAAGAGATTCGACCTTACCACAACAGAATCCTCATTATTCCAGAAATGGGACTGGGTCAACTACTATGTGGCTGTCGTGAACAACACAGGAATCCCAAACACCATGACGCTTGTCAACGCTGACCCCGATAACAGCCCTGGCAGTCTCCCGCTCCCGCCTTTCGAGTTAGAACTGCAATACGCCGGTGCAGACGGATACTTTGTTAGTAAAATCGTCGGTAACAGGACTTTGACCGCGCTTAAAGCGAAGGACCTTGTACTTTCTGATATTCGCCGGATGGGAACAGCAGGGACGTTTCCGGGCGGTGATCCCGAGATTGTTGTGTTTGGTGACCATACGCCAACGACAGTGTCGGTTTCCAATGTTGACATTCGAGATGGGTTCTATAGGAAGTTGTATGCGCTCCAGGGTACTAAGAATACGTTCTATACTGGGTTGGCCTTTTGCTCGGATTATTCGTCTTTGTTATGGGCGTATACTGAGACTGTTATTCGGGAGATGATGTCTTCGTGACGAAGTATTTGTTCTCCGTTTGCAACCGTAAGCTTCTTTGGTGATGAGAATCAGATTTGTCTCGGGGTTCGTCTTGTGTAAAAAGCGAGGCTAAGAGCAACGGGCCGATTGAATTTTAAGGGGTTAACATATCTGTCTAAAGGGCTGCACATGGGTCCATTACAAGCTTGATAGGACGCATCCAGTATTACCTTTTTCAAATAAAAGTGACCATAAATCTTGAAGTAAATTAGATTTGCAGATATATGGTTAGCGTTGCACGGCGATAACTCGGGCAAGTTACTGCAAATATATATCTCATGGGAGGATTTTAAACATGGACGGTTTTGCTACATAAACCATTACGAATTGTAAATATGGTAATAGGGTATATATTTCCATAGTATATGAACCTTGACTGAGACAAATAAGGCTAAGGTTCGAATTTTTGAGATGCTCGCAACCGCCGACTATCGGAATACTTTCCTTGGTAGGCTGAGGAGAGGATCTGTAGGTCTCCACTGATAAGAACCGCGAGTCATGTTGAGGAAGGTTCGGAAGGAACTGAGAAACATGGATCTTGAATAGAGTTTATCTGTTATTTAAAATATTCTCCTGCATGCCAAGGCGTACATCCCTCACTGTCTATAATGTTGCCAAGATTGCCCCTTGCATAGACGTTATCCTTCGCCGTGCTAGTAGATTCTTATAAGCCATTTGAGAAATGCTATATTCATTGACGAAAGCTGACGCGCCTTCGCGTCTAAAGTAATTCAATATGATTGTTCGCTATATTGCACACTGCGAGGACATATATCGCGTTACCGATGCATTCAATACTGAGTCATGCCCGAGTAATGACCGTAGACAGTAGATGCTTTTTCCGCCATATCAAACAGCCCAAAGCCTCCCACACACCACGCATCATGAAAATATGCCTCGTCTTGATATGATCACCCCCCGCCTAAATAGGCCGAAAGGCTACCCTGCATAGAAAACCCTTAATCTCAACATGTTGAACCCAGTCCTAACCTTGAAATCATAGAAGCGGCGACGGAAGTGAAATTAGCGGACCCGCCAGGAGCGGGGAGTCGCCGGTGAGAGGACCAACAGTCACATTGGCCTTGTCCAAGACGCTGCCCAAGCTTGGCCTGTTGCTGTTATCCTTATTGTTGGTGTCTTTGACATCGGTAGAGGGAGAGTGATCATCGTAGGATACTGTGGCGCTGTTACGTGACTTGTCGACGTTATTATCGCCGACTGTGTTCTTGTGGATATCTGCTTCACCGTTTTTGGTGCCATTGACAAAGCGACCCCATGTTGGGAAGGCGATGGCCGTTGCGGAGAGGGTTGCGAGGATTGTGAAGAAATGCATGGTTTTGTAAGATTAGGGACTGTATGTATAATAGATTAACGTAGGAGATTGAAGGAATGGATCTCAAGTTGGATTAGTATGATTGTGGGCGCTCCAGGCGCAGAAGTCGTTAAGGAAAGAAATTATTTTTTTTAGGAGTATTTCGTTACACAGAGGTTGCTTTTATATGATCGGTTTTCTAGAAGATTGGCTTAGCTTGAATACTTGGCTATCCTAGGAATGTGGTTGTGGCTGCCGTCTTTGACATCCATAAAGCTTCACAGGTACTAAGCAATATGGGGAAAGTTAAACTTGGCCTTATAGAATATTAAATGTTTACGGTTGGTTTGAGTTTATTCTCGTTTTATTCTTAGTTGGCTTTATTGTTGATTTGGGGAGCAATACGGCGTGAGGGAAGACGGATCTGATTCAACGAGCCCCCATTGATCAGAATACGAGATTTTCTGTCTTAGATCCGTCCAAGATAACAGTAGGGTGTAATCCCTGGGAGATTCTACTGGGGGGTCGTGGGGGAACGTGACATGGGGATGAGATGCAAGGGACACTGCGGAATGGCTGTTGCAGATCATCCGCCAATTACTCTTGTTTCCTAAGAATGTTAGCCGGTATAAAAGTATGCAGAGAACAGACGGAAGTGGAAAAGTGCTGAACAGGAAAATTCCAGGTGTCTGCACTAGCAAGACATATGCTACTCCTCGTGGCAAAGTCCAGCAATTCTATTTGATTTGAGTTAATTACTGATTCATGCACTATCCATCCCTTGGACTGCCTAAGTTTCTGTATGACCGAACCATTGCAGAAGGGTAATTGAATAGCTCTCTCGTACAGAGTACAAGTAGTAATCATTCCTTTCAGCCAGGTATGAGCCAGTATTGATCGACACGCTGTACATCTTTCATCCGCATAAACCACTGCTGGAAAGAATGACACTAATAGCATTATCACTGGGGTTTGCATAGCATACAAGCCATTTTCGATGCGTGCACAGGAGACGCGTCGAGGCGCGCCTTGCTCAGTTGGGCTACAATGAAAGATAGATAACCAATATGCCGGTCTGCCCCTTGCTAGATGGTCCTGGATGTAAATTGGAAAAGCTTAGGGGTCAGTAAGGTGTATTAACTATATTCAACTGGCATTGAACCGCAATTCGATCAATAAACATATGCTTTAGTCTGCCCACCCCTCCGTTGCTTTCTATTCAAAAACACATAATAGATGTGCAGCACAACACACGAAACACAGACAAACAGCAGTAAAGCAGCATTTGTCCAATGCCCCGTGGGATATCCCCTCGTAGCCTCGTTAGCCTTGTAAATCCACACCCCTACAATTTGGCCCGGTGCGCCGAAAGAGATATTGAGCGCTATCGCCAATCCCGCTCCAGCAGTGGAATGAAGGTTGGAAGATAGCCAGCCAAGAAGGGGAGGAATGCACGAAAATGCGCCACTGGCCGCCACGATTAAGCATCCATACCGACTCTGTGGTACTGTTAGAGGCTTGGCTTTTCTCGATATGGAATTAGTCTTACCTGATATGCATCTGCAGGTAGGACAGCAGAGGCCAAGAAGCCTACAGCACCGATACATGAGAATAACGCTGCATGAATTCCGCGCCTATTCCAGCATCAAGATTCAGTTAGTGTATATTTTGAATTCTGGCTGAATGATTAACATACGCGTTGAAGTGGTCGGCTGACCATGAAACTGCGACCGTTACTACATATGCAACGGCATAAGGCGGGACAGTCATCAGTTGGGCTTCGAGATTCTCGTACCCCAATCCGGCAGTAATGGATGGGGTAAAAAGTGAAAGACTCGAGAACGGAGTTGAAATGCCGAAATAAATCTATTACATATGAGTGGGTTGCTAGTAAATGAGGCATATAACACATACCGCGTAATGACCGTATAATCGCCAATCGGTCAGGACAGCTTTTGCATCTGACCAGCTCATCGTTTTCGCACTGCTCTTTGAGCCTTCCAATCGGAGTCTATGTTTTGCCAAGTTGAGCTCTGCAGCGTTCAACCAGCCCGCTGTTTCTGGATAGTCTGGTAAGAGAAACCAAACAAGGATCGCTGATGCGCACGACGGAGCTCCTTCGATTATGAACAGCCAGCGCCAGGCCGACAGACCATGGGATCCGTTCAAATATCCAACTCCATAAGCGATAGCACCGCCGAATGCGCCAGCTAGTGTAGCGGAGGCGAGAATAACTGCCACGCGTATAGAACGCTCTGAAACCCGATACCAAAACGTGAGGTAATATACAAGTCCAGGGAACAGCCCGGCCTCAATGACTCCGAGCAGAAATCGAATACCCGTAACGTCTCCAAAGTTGCGAGAGCCACCCAGACCCATTGTTATGCCACCCCAGGCAAACATCAGGAACGCAATCCACCTCTAGACAATATTAGCGAATTATGGAAGGAAGCAAATTAGGTGATAGATGCATACGCTGGGCCTCAGCTTCTTCAGCAAATAGTTTGAGGGTACCTCAAACAGTCCATATGCCACGAGAAAGAGCATCAACGCAATCCTAGATAGAGCACGGGTTACAAATAATCTACTAGGTCAAGGATTCGATACATACGTATATTGATAATTGCTCATATGTGTTTCGGAGAGAAGATCGTTGTCCGTATCCTTGTTCAAGACCTTGGCATTTCCTGGAGTCTCTTAGCTTTGTTATTTCAGGGGGAGTAGACTTGATACGCATCTTACCAATGTTGGAGCGATCAAGGTAGCATAGTAAATAAATAAATGCCGATAAAGGCACGATGCGTAGGTCTTGTTTCCATACCAGAGCTTTTTCAGCCGCGGTGTCATGAGCGGGCGCGCCTTCTAGGCTATTTGAACTATCCTGAACCGCAGTCAACACCATCTACCATGCTGTATTAGCAAAGAAGCCTTGTTACCTACATTGATGTCATTCTCAACGTCCTCCAGTTCATGCTCGTGTGGCTTTTCATCTTGTGCTGTCATGTCTCCCAGCTTAGAACGAGAGTCTGCTGGGTCTGGTGTTCTCATTGTTTTACGGGGCGGGCTCGTATGGAAAATGGCCCCAAGAAGCTCGGTAAAGTTTTGTTGATTCAATATGGTGTACTAGGATATCAAGCCTTATGAAGTACTCCAAAAGCAATGTTCCTGACTTAGTTCCTGATATCGTCGGCGTCGGCGGCCGTCACCGACGGACAATGTCCGAGGCCACATAATTAGGGCTTCGCTTCACTTCCCCCGCCGATTTAGCCTGGAGAAAACGCGGGGTAAACGCCACAAGCAAAGAGCCGGGCCCTCGGCATTGGTCTACAACATCCCCCACAACGACTATTTAATGTATCCGGCTGTTCGGACTAAAGCCCGCCGGCTGACTTGTCCGAAAACAACGGAGTCCCAGCACACTTGCACACTCCGGTCGGAACGTAGACGATATTGAAACATGCATGCATGCGATAGGTGTCATCGGCGCAAGTCCAAGTGCGACAAAGTGCTACCAGCATGTGGGCCATGCCAGAAAGCCGGGGTTGCCTGCAAGTATGTCGATCGGACTAGAAGCCATCAGCAACTTCTGGAAAGATTGCAGCGTCGCTTGAAACAAGTCGAAGCTACTAATCGCACCTTAGCGGCAAGGCTAGCTAGCCATGCTTTT